ATTATTTGCTTAAATTCAGATTCTTAATATCTGTCTAGCATTACGAGAGACGTCATCTTAGGAGTTCAACTACTTAATACCACAAATCTCTTTATCTATTTCACGTTCTTCTGATCTGTCTATGTGTTTCAACGGATATCTTCAAAATTTGTAACTATATTTAATGCGTATGTTTTTATTGTTCGAAATTCGTAAAAATAATATATAGATCTTGTATCAATATAGATTAGCTTAAAAGTTATAAAAAATTATTCCAACAGTGTTGGAATAAAATTATCAATCTCATAATTAACCACAGAAACTAAATAATTACATGACTTTACTAATATATTATATATATACACATACACACACACGCGTATATATATGCATATGTGTATATGTATATATATATATATATATACACGTATTTAAAAAAAAATAACATCTAAATAACCGTTAGATGTAGGAATGTTAGGTATTTTGTATTATTGTGTATTTTTCTTGTGGAATTAAACTTAATTTTATTTGTGAATTTATTATTAAAAATCATGATTTGTCCCAGTGCGATAAAATTTGATAATAATAATTGTTGAAATTTGTTAACTGTAAAGAAAGTTTAAATTTCAGTGTCAAAATGGGAAGGAGACTATATTTGTTATCCTTCGCTAAGACCTGCCAGCCTCGCCTTATCAAGATATCCACCACCTCTGTACAAGAACCTAATAACATTTAATCGACACAACTAAGACTAAAAGGAACGTTCTTACTAATTGCGAAGAAGAAACTTGTAACTGAATTCTTAAAATTAAGAGCAAGAAGAGACAAGAAAACAAATATATGGTAAACTTGATAGTCACAAGGTGGTGGATTAAATAGAATTAAAACATTAAAGGACAATAATATTAAATTGTAATATTGCACTGTAAATAAGTAAGTTGCAGAGCGTTATACAATTTTATATTGTATCTTTTATTATATAATAACAAATATATATATAAATGGATCTTTTAAATGATTTTTCATAGGGAAAAAGATGATTACTCTGGTGGCAGTGAAGTTTGTGAGAGTTCCTGAGACTAGGTGGAAATTTATTAAGAGGGAATGAGGAATCCGGCATTGCATTTGGTCGGGATAGCGGCGTCCCCTGGAGGTGACGAGGTCTTTGATACAAGGGCCGAGGAGGAGTTGCGCCAGTGGCTTGAGACACGCTTGGACGCATTGGGGATTGACCCGGTTGCGTACTCGCGTTTTGTACTCAGCCTATTGCGCCGCCCCGACTCGGCCCTAAGTCCTCCAGAAGAGGCAATAAGCGTTAATAAGAATATAGGACGTCGCGTTCATACCCGGCCTAAAGCAAAACTGCCATCGCAAGGAGAGAGGGAGCAAAGACGAGCTGTTGTGCAATGTCTTAAAAGTGCTGCAGATAACGTAAGACAAATTTTATTATTTATTAGAGTATGTACCAACAATAAAGAATATTTTTTTTCAAAGAGCAATTAACTCATATTTAGAAATGCGGTGTAGAAACTTTAGTTGATGAATTGTGCACGAAATTAAGAGATTTGGAAGGAGGAGGTTCACACGATGAAAAAGAAGAATCCAGAAAATTAGATAGGGAATCTAAAACAAATTTGGAAGTTCTTACTTCACGCGACAGGGCTCTCAGATACTACGCAGCATTTCCTGCCTTACAACCTACAAGCCTCAAAACATTTTCTCAAAGAAAGGATAAGACCTTTGGGAACAATAACAATAATAACAACACAGATAGTAGTATCAATTATAACAATAATAAGAACAACAATAAGGCTTACAGTAAGAAAACAACAATGCCAATTGTATGTCTGCTATGTATTATCATCTTTTTTATTGATTATTTTCCCATTCATTCATATTTATACCGGTGATAAAATATTTCTTTTTAGACCATTGAGACTCAAAGAAGAGAAGATAAAGAGAGCTTCGGATTTGCTAAATCTATGGAAAGAGAGAGAGAAAAAGAGCGTGAACTAGAATTAGATCAATTGAGATTAGCACAGTTGCAAGCAAAATTTGATGAAAGTTTAGAAGCACTTTGGAATTCAGGACCTGGCAATGCACAAGATACAGCTTCTATCTGGGCAGCACCTACTCTTTCTATTCCTTCTGGACCCCTTTGGCCGACAGATACTACCGATACAACTTTTACTTTATCCACTACAGATAATGGTTATGCTACTGATACACCACATCAGGAGTGTGTTGTTGACGACTCACCGCTTATTCCATGGGATATCGATTTAATCAGCATCGAAGACTATGCAGAAGAATGTAGTAATAAGAATAATAAATCAGGTTAGATATTATAAAAATTAAAGCGCTTAGGATATTTAGCAAAATTACTTCAAACATATATTTATTTCTATAAATAATTGTAGAAGGCAATATAAACTGGTCAGATACGGTTATGGATGGACCTTGGTGTTGGAAAGGACTTGGCAGTAATTTGGCTACCTTGGGTCATAGTCCTCAGACAGGTAGTTGTTTCTTTCCAGTTGCACCACGTAAGACTCCCATTGGAACACGCAAAGAAACTCGTTCAAATCTGAAGGTACATAGCCTTCCTGAACCAGACGAAGATTTACTCACTTCAGCTAGAACACATTTTCGTCCTATAAAGGACGATGGTAATTGGGCCGATGGGACTACTTTTCCAGTTAATAATGCATTAGAAAGGGTTGCATATAGAAGATCTGAGTCAGGAAATTTATTATACTTACCTGGTGGAGAGAGTCCTTACATGGAATATCGGGAAAGTAACTCGCCGATTCCTTCTACATCTTCGAATTTAACGTTGAAATTCCGGGTGCGTCAATGTGACAAATGCGTCCAAACCGAGCCTATTCGGTCTCCGATAAAACGCAGAATTATCTCCGAACAGGATCATTTTCACTTTTCTCCGGTCGAAACTGAAGAAGAGACCATTGCTCATGAACAAGAAAAGATAGAAAAAGATTACTTTTCTTTGAGTCAGCTGGGCTGGGTACAAAATAATGTACCTTTGCACAACGATCGTAAAAGGTAATTTAATTTATACAAATATGTAGATATATTCATATATGAAATATTTAATTTTTAATATTTATTTTAAATATTAACAAACTCATAAAAAATATTTATTCAACGTATATGTATGTTGTACCTGCGAACATTACAACAATCTCAAACTAATATTTAAGAAATCTGGATATGTACAATTATTGACTGGAAATCTTTTTGTAATTTTTTGTTGTACTTTTTATAGTGTACGCCTTTTTCTGTATTAGAAAAGAGATAGGCTTAACTGAATATGGTATATGTAGTAGTTAATGTAATGAAATAGGCACTTGAATTTTATTTATTTTCATAATATGTACGTAAATATGCTTTACTGATTGGTCTCATAACATGATTTTTTTCTGATAGAAGACACAGTAGCAGCTTAGGATGCCAGCCACTGACGATTTTACGTCCTTTTACCTTGTGAACTGGATAATAGAAGCTGCTTAAATGTTACACGACCGGAGACTTCAGATTTAGATATACTTTTTTCAAGATAAAGACAAAAATAGAAGTGTGAGACAATGGAACCTCTTGGCATGTGGAATTTGTTATGCATGTATCCAAGAAGGCACGATTAATCCCATTGTCGTTTGTATGGATCAACTAATTGAAAGAAGTGCTAAACGAAAAAGAATGGTGAAATGAATATTAAATGTTCATTTAGATAATTATTAACCCTGTGACGAATAAAAAGAAAAGGAACAAAAGAAAAAAAAAAGCGTATATCTTACACCGCGTTTGACGATGATAAAAAAAAGAGATGTAGCGATTTTCAAGTTTTCATTTTTAGCTTATCTCTTTCATTTAATGTGAATTTTGAATGAAAATTAGCTTCTTGATTTTGATAGTCACTTTAGTGAACAGTTTTTTTTTCTCATCCACTATGCAGCTCTTGTGTGTTTATTCGATACGAAGATAGATGTATTATAAACAATCGGAAAACTGAAAGAAATTACAAAGAGAAAAAAAGCAGAGAAAAAGAAAAAAAAAACAGTGGAGTACTTATACAAATACTACATAACATCAAAACTGGATATAAAGGCATAAAAGTGCTGTTCTATTTTCTTGTTGTTTTCTATAATTATTAATGAATTATCTTAATGGTATTTTCCCTAATTATAATTTAACTCTCCCGAAGATTAATCTCCTTATGCTCCAAACGTCCCTTTATCCTATGCTTTTCCTGTACTCCCAACGAAGAAATCGGATATCGAAGAATGTACATGTGCGAAAGTGTAATACGAAAATATGCATACATTGTTGAATGTATTGCAAACTATGCAAAAAGTGTTATTGAAGAATGATTATACTTCTGTAAGAGCTACGAAGATAACATGAAAGAAAGAATAGTGTAACTTATGAATGATGCTGGTGAGAACAAGAAGAATATGTATTCTCAATGCGAAATAATGTACGCAAAGGGAGTAACCAAATAAAAGCATTGCAAAGCTCAAATTATGTTTCTCAATTGACTACATACAGTGGACCAATAAGTTTCTACATTTTTTATAGACCAAATTTATAATTGTAGTATTTTAATAATAAAATATAATTATTTTAGTGTTTTAAAAATTAAATTATATATATTTTACTCAAAGAATGATAAAACAAAAATTTACAAAACTATACAAAAATAAATTAACTAACAAAATATTAAACTAATAATAAACAAAATCTGAAGAAAACCAAAAAATAATATTTAAATAATTTTTCTTAATTTATTTTCTATAAAGTCTATGAATTCTACTAACAAATAAAGAAACTCTTAGAACTGACTTAAAAATAAGTTTAATAAAATTAGTCAAAATTTAAAGGGTTATGAAAATATAAGTAATAAACAAATTTATAAGTTTTTCATACCAGATCACCAGATTGAGTTAACAGTTTTATTAGTTGCTATAGAAAAAATGGTTAGTGCGCATGCGTAATTAGAAGCACGTGTTAACTACATAGTGTAACAGTTTTTTAATCAGAGATCAAATAATTTCAAGTTAAAGAATAAAGACAAAATATTTTATTCGTTATTGAAAATTAGTGAAGGAATTGAGGATATTATTAAGATAAATGAAATACTTCTTTTTAACAAATATTATTGTGATGAAACTAACATAATTAGAAGTGCATAACCTAGAAGCATTGTAAACACAATGGCTGAAAGAAGTGATTTAATCTCCAAAACATTCCAACGTGCTGAAAAATATTTACAGGAAAGATTAAAATCAGGATATTTACAAAAATATGATCATTATATGGTACCAGGATATAATTTACATACATCATTCGGTACTGATGATCGGGATTTGAATTATATTAAGCAATTATATCAAAAATTTCCTTATGAACATGATTTACCAAAACCATTATTACCTCCAGCTAAATTACCACGTACTGGTAACGTAATGAAATATTTGATATTTAATCCTATATATATCTTATTAGAATTGTTTTATCAATTGTTATTATGTTTTTCAAATTTAGTATTACACGAAGAAGATCCTGCTTTGGAACCTGTTACAGTCAAATCCTATATGAAAAGTGACATAAATAGAATTTTAGATTATTATGAAAAACATAAAAATGGTATATAAAATTGACAATATATATATTTATATAATTAATATATTAGATTTAAATATTTATATATTCATATCTTACAGATTTTGGACCAATCTCTAAAAAGGGAGTAAAATGGTTAAAAAATAGTGATAAACTAACTGGTACTGTACTACCTAGATATGTTGCAGAAATAGCTGAACTTGTTGAATTAGATCCTGACCCTTATTTAAAAGGGGTAAATATATTATTAACAAAATATAGCAAATTATTTTAATTTATATGTCAAAAATTCTTATGATATTTTTTATTATAATAGGATTACAACTGGTACTATACAGGAGGAAGTTTAACTAATGTCACATTTGGCGATCAAACTATTTTAATCTATCCTTACGTAGGAGAATTAAGTATAATTTTTGCACAAGTTATACTTTTGTAACATATATAAAAATTGATTCTTTATTTTGAAGTATATGTAAATGATTTCAGTTGCTTCTCCATTAATGCCTATGGAAAATGCATTATGGAAACCAATATTGCAAAAGTCGGATAAACTTAATCTTGATGGTACATTATATGAACTGAGGCCCAACATTATTAATGACAAATGTAAACAAAATATAAATTCGTAATTTACAAGTGATATGTTAATTTATAATATGAAAATATATTATGTTTGTATGATTAATACCTTTAGTCTGAATTAAAATTTTTGTTTTTTTGTTTCAGGTATAATTTTAGGTAGATACAAGAATCATTGTATACTGTATAAGCTTATTTTAGGAGAAAATAAAGTTGAATTATTTGAATTCCATAAAAAAACTTCAACATTACCATACGTTAGTGGAGAAGTGTGTCCATATAGTGAAGATTATTTCTGTACAGTAGATGTAGATCGCACACTATCTTTATGGAACGTTAACAAAAAGTAAGTGCATATCGGAATCAAATAATATATAATCTATTAAAATATAATTTTTCTTATATATTTTATAGAAAATCTATTGCAAGCCATAAAATAATTCATTCTAAAGTCCTGGACGATAGTTGGGGAAGTGTTAAATATCAATTATTAGATACACATGTATTGGTATTTATTGATAGATGCTGTCTCCATTATCTTGACACTAGGGTAATTCTAATAAATCTTTCAGCTTAAAATTGTTAACTTGAATTTATGTAGATGCCAAGAATTTTATAATTCCATGCAACTTCGTAGATACCTTTTGATCGACCATCATTATCACTTTGTCCAAAGCAATTTTTGGAACAATGTGAAAGTTTATCAGTAGAAAAAGCTAGTAGACATAACTCATGTAGATACATAGGTACATATCACAATCTTTTGTTATGTGATAATCGTTCTCCAAAAAAATGCGTAAGCCAGAAGTGGACACATCAATTTCGAAGTACTCCTCTTTTACTTTCTACTTTCAATCGGTTAGTAATAATAACAATATTACATTGTATTATGGCAACTTGACAATTATTAAGCATTCAATTGTAGGAATATAGAAGAAATCCTTGTTTTATCAAGTCCATTGGCTGCAGAAAGTTCAATGATTTTAAACACATGGACTTATGAAAGTCCTCATTCTTATTATTTACCAATAACTTTACCAAGTATAAAGGAAACATTGAATGATGCGCAATTGCAAGGTTTATGTTTAGATCCGTATATGAAAAATAGATTGGATTTATGTAAAGCTGGCTCTACGTTAGTAACTAACCCGAAAGGAGATGTATTCTTTTTTATACAAACCTCTATAGGTATGAGATAATATTTCTAAAGAGAAATGTTTTTTTGGATTTGGTAATACATATTTTGTTTTGATGTGTTCAAATATAATTTATAGGTGATGTATTTTATCAATGTATTACTCACGAAGATATACTTGACAAAAATTCTGAAATCAAAGTTAGAGCAATTTCTGCATTAAATGCTTGGGAACATGCATTAATGACACAAGATAATCCAATTGCACCTCTTACTATGTCAAGTAAATGTGATATGAAACACGTATATAAAAGTAAGTTAATAAATTATCTATTATCAGTAGGAATATAATTAATGGAAGATCAAGATGTATATATATATTTAAACTTTGCTAAATTGAATTTTAGGCTTTAATAATAAGCACTTACAATTAGACCAACACGAAGAATTGGATGATACTTTTGACCAAAGTTGGAGAAAATCTATTGAAGAATTAAATTCTTATGAGGATATTTTAGCGCCAGAACTTTTAGCTGTATGGGGAATATCTGAACAGGTTTCCATTTCGTTGTCAGCAACTCCTCATCAAAAAGTTTTAAATTGGTTAGAGATGAATAATGATAATGCTGCTTCATCTGTTCCGGAAGAAATAGAATATATGGATAAACCAGACAATACGCAAGAATTAATAAGTGTATCTCAAAATCCAAATAATAGACATTTAAATGATGTTGATAATAAAGAAGAACCATTTTTACCTAAAGTCAGAACAAAATCAATCAAAAGAAGAAAAAAGAGTGCAAAGTAATGTTGTTGTTTAAATATTGTTATTATATAAAGTTTATATTTCATCAATATGCTGTTACATCATAATGATAATGTATTATAATTTGTAAACTGTACATATTTTTGAACATTTTCTATACAGTATATACTCGTTAATATTTTTATATGGTATATTTGCGAAAACTAATGTCTATATTAGATGTAAAGTAGGGAAATGGTTTACTGATAGTTTATTCATTTTTTAATAAAAATTGTACATTTACTATTGGTAAGAACAATTTTGAACGAAATGATACGATGAACATAATCTCTCATATTTAGTTTTTATGTAAGTACCTTACATTATAAAGTAATTTAAATTGACTAACGATTTCGTAGAAAGGAAGGACTCCATCTTGAGGTAAGGTGTTTGCCATTTTCCTTTTGCGTTTTATTTTCTTCTTCCAATTGTTCCTAAAGTATTTTAATATCAAAGTGTTATAGTAAGAGAAAATAAATTTATAATTACATTAATGATCTATATTACACGATTTTGATTTTAAATTTACCAGTAATTTACGTTGATTTTCTCTAAATGCCGTTAATGGATCATCAAATTGCCTGTAATAATTGAGGACTTCTCTAACGTCTTCCACGTTAGTCAATGATATAGCTAAATAAGACAAAATAATCATTAATGCATAGACCACAAAATTTCTATAAATCTTTTACGAAATTATAATGTAAATAGTTCATAATTATTTCTGATGCTGATACATTAAAAGAATATTTTTAAAATTATATATACACTTTTAAAAATAAATACAATATTATCTTACTTTTAAGGAATGCTGCCAAATGATATAAAGATTTATCATTGTCATCGCCTGTCCATCTTTTAAGTTTTAACGTGTTTTCAGGATAGTATTTAATACTTTCCTCATCCCAATCAACTACAATAACCTATTACGTAATACTAAAAGTTAGTAAGATGTATTAAAACCAAAGTAAAATTAAATAAAAAATGAAAATAATTACTTTACTAAGATCACGATTAAGCGAAGTTAGATCTTTAACATGATGACCATCCGTAAAATGTGTTGCATCTCTGAACAATCTATACATTATGTAGCCATTAGGATCTAAGGCATCCAAAATAGGAAACATATTCTGAAATTTGTTGATTAAAATTTACACCTCCAAATATTACTAATGACTTAACAAATAAATTTAATAAGGCAATACCATTCCTTGTTCCGCTGTATAGACCACAATTTCAAATTGTGGAGGTGCAACAGCTTCTAAGAATTCATCTACATATGGTCTCTTTTTAAATCTCCATCCTGTTTCGTACTAAAAATGATAAAAAAATGTTTAACTAAAAAATTACAAATAAACTATTCTACATTTAATTTATCAAAGTATCTTAAATATTTCATATGTTTTTTGATTAAAAACTTACAGTCCAATCTGGACATAGAAGAAGATCTTTAACTTCTAGCACCAATGTGTACGGAGGTTGAATATAAGGATATTTCAGTGGATCAGGAAGCAATTTTGGCCTACTGGGTTCCTGTATAAACTGTACAAAAATTGATAAGCAATATTAAAATGAGAAAATAAAGGTCTTAGTGTTGATATATATTTTGAAAAAGAATTATACCTTTCTATAATAGGTTGCTTCTCTCCTAAATCTTTTATAAATCTTTTCATAATATGGTAAATGAGAATATTCATCTTCTATTATATTTCCATTTTCATCATACTGTAGTTTCCCAAGATTATAGATTATATATCCCAAAGTCAAGCCTCCTGATACACCAAAGAAAAGAAAAGTATATTTCATGATCCTTTTTGCACGTTCGCGACTATTTTTCTGTTCTTCCTCGTCTTGCTGTTCTTGTTCTATTTTTTTTTTATCTAACATTTCTTTTGCTAATGATTCTGCTGTTATTCCTAATGACTTTGCAAAACTTCCTGCTATTTTGGGATGATCTGAGGCTGTAAATATGTAGATTTTTAATTTATTATAATAACTTATATATTATATATTCACTTACATAGGAAACGTAAATTTTGTAATTTTGTATAATTTAATTGATAATATTATGTATAATATACAATTTATATAATTAATTTATATATATAATATATTGAAATAATTACATCGAGAGATCAAATGTCGTAATTATAAATAAGCATGCAATTTTAAATCTAGAAAATGTGAAAAGTAAGGCTATGTTATAACGAACAGGTTTACCTTTGGTGTTGTAGCAATATTTTTGGTTAGTCTGAACGACAGATATTCTTGCGACTGGTTGTCGGAATATCGAGAAAGATACACGACAACTTCCATTGTATATTTTACTTAAACTCCGTAAACTTTTTACAGCAAATGCCATTATTCAAAGAAGTCATGGAGCTTTCCGGCAGATAAACGTTAGAATCCCATACTCCTGCCAAGAATACAGAAGTATATAGAAGTTCACAAGTTGACTTTTTTTCTAACCAGATTCATCATAGTTACTACCGGGACTACCAGTGGGCGATAGTAGGTAGAATACTGTATTCTTTGATAGTATTGTATCGTCATCGTATTAAGTATTCTTTGCTCCTGCATCGTAGTGTATAACACATGCAATCGATACGGTAAAAAACTGACTTACCATCCTTGTTAATTAATAAAACACAAACAAACAAAAATTAATAAAAATAAGTAGATATATAAAAGTTATTTGAAACATCTAACGTTATATGTATAAATATACGTTGATTTAGATGCATTTCCTTTTTTATATATGTATATACGATTAAAAATAACAAAAGTAGACTCGATCTATCAAATAGAAAATTTATCGATTGCAATTTATTATACAGAAGATAAATTTTGTTTTTTTGATCTCAAGATTAAAAAAATAACTAATATTTAAACATTTATTTTATTAATACAGTAATTGACACTTCGAATGTTTTTATGAGATAAACTTTAACGTACATGTAACATTCGATAATGCACTTCAAAGAAATATTTTTTTAATTTACTTTTATTTTAACTACAGTCGAGATATTATCGATATTGAATTTCAAAGTTCATGTCACCATAGATAAGATTTAAAAGCTTCTTGCCCTATAAGAATCCAAAGTTTTTTTTAGACGGCTTTATCGGTCGTTCACCTGAGGTAAAATAATTTAGAAAAAATAAATCTTACCTACGTATTCCATATGAATTTCGCATTTAATTAGAATTTTTCGCTATTAATTTGCTAAATTTAAATTATTGAAGAATAATTGATGCCAACTGATGATGGTTGAAGAATTATATTTTAGATATTTAATGAATATAATTTTCTTAATATTTCTCGAGTTTATATTTCATACCAAGATAGAATATTATTGAGCGGTTTAAATATGCTACATTAATAAATGTGTGTGAGAGTGTAAAACTTGACAACTACTACTAGATTATGAAAATATAGATCAAGAAGGGCATTGACTTAATAAACATAATCCACATGTTCTTGTTTATGAAATGCATTTTATATGAAATTATTCTATTTTAACGAATGGGACCTAATCTTTCGGAAGAGAGATAATGTAACAACGCGTTTGTTAGAATTTTGATGTAAGTCTTGATCTCGTATCGCGACAGGTAATTTTTATTCCACACTTTAAGCTCGTTTTCTCACGCGATATAGCCACATTTTGTAGTCGTACGATCATTACGTCCTGTAACTACATAACATATATCTATTTAACGTAAATTCGTCTTCTTCTTTCTTTTTCTCTTTCTCTCTTTCTCTATTTCCCCTTCTCGGGGTTTCGTACGTTTCAAAATTACTGCCATGTTATCGAAGATTCAGTAGAGAGATAGCCGACTAATCTTCGTGTTTACGAATGCTTAGCTCGACTTAGCTTTCGTGCCGCGTACCTAGCGTGCGAGAAACATTTGTATTTAATTCGAGTCCCTCTCTTTCTCTTTTTATTTCTTTCTTTGGGCAACGAATAGAATTTCATAGACGAATATAACGTAGTCGTGACCTATCGAAACTAATAACGAACAATATGTTATTCCTATCTTGCGTTAAAACTTACTCCTAGAAAGAGGATTATTTCGATGATATCTATTAATGAGAATTTCGATCTAACCTTAATATATTCATGGTATTCGAGTTTAAAAATCAAAGATATTTTTGTGTATTTTCCCAAAATATAATCGAAATAATTTATCGTATAAAGTTATTTGTTTGAAGGAATAAAAATGTCGGCGTGTCAAAGATGGGCTGTACGCGTACTTGGTCATTCATCGAAACGAAGTAAGCCTGGATGGTGGGATGACCTCGACGCGATTCAGCCAAAGGTATTCTCCGAGACAATTTAATCAACTTCGGGAAGTTTGCGGGTAGCAGCGGTTGTCGGATCAGTGCATGCATTGTATACTAGCCAGGGGAATTTTGTGGACATTGCGCGGTCAACCACTATAATATTAATAGCTTCCGTATGAAATTTGCTTAATCATGACTAACGGGATGACCCAATGGAATCGGGCCGACGGTTCGTCGTTGTCCAGCCGGCTCAATGTGCCAATCTCCAAAGCGTCAGATTCTCGCCGAGCGCGACCGCGTTAAATTGACGCCAAAATTTGGCGGATTTGTCTCGGACACTAAAAGCATCCCCGTTGTTTCCCTCGTTCAGAGCAATTTTTGAACGAAGTACGTACGTATATCTAGTTCCTTCAATTTCTCTTTATTTCTTTTCTATTTCTCTATCTCGAGAGTTTTTATAGTCGATATTAAAATTTGCCAAATGGGACAGGGTGGTTAAAAGGGAAAAGGAAGGTAAGAGGAATGGCAAGGAAGAGAAGGAAGAAAGAAAGGATAGAGCTCCGGTGTGTCAGCTGCCGTTGGGATGGTAATGAGAGGTACCATAACGTTAACGGGCGAACGCATACATTCGAGCAATTACGGTGCTCCGACTAATTTCCGTCCCTAGGCAAACTTGAGGAATTTCAGGGTGCCGAGTACGTGGCTGCCGAGGACGACGCTACCGAGTGTAAAAGGGGCAAAGCGTGCGTTGGGAGGTCGTCCTAGGGCCGTGAAAGGAAGGAAGTAACGGGGAGAAGTTACGAGTGACCATTTCGCTGGATCTCCACATTTTCCCGTTCTCGCGAACGTTCACGACCGTGGTCAGGAGCATATATATAATGTGTACATATGTATGCGTATACGGACACACATAGAAGACGCACGGTAGTCGCGTTTATGCTCGTCGCACGGCAAACGAGGGCTGCTACCAGAACGTTCGTTGCCTCTCACGGAGAAACGAAAGGGTACGAGGCCGAGAGGGATGTTTGTTAAAAGAATTTTCAACGGCGAACACGCTCAGCCGGCAGCCGGTATTACGGGCTGGATTAATTCGCAACAAAAATATGTGAAATATTTTCACCTCGTAGGGGACGGTTTGCTTCGGGGTTGGCTCGAGGGATGAGCAGACGCACGCGTACGGCCTGAACGGCAAAAAATTCGTTCTCGCTTCTCTCTTTTTTCCTTTTCGATGCACTAACACGTCCTCTTATCTATACATCTATCTACCTAGATATATACGTATTATACTCGCATATATAACACTGACTGACCCGCTCTCGACGCGTGTTTTGCTTTCGGATTGCGCGCCAAGTTTTTCACGATAAATCGTCGTCGTAGTCGTCGTTGTCGACTACGACGAGGGTCAAAGACCGGAGAGACAAACGTGCTCCGGACGAGTTTCGACCGCTTTGATATCGGACCTCCTAATGATGCTGACGCTACCGAAAGAGAGAGAAAGAGAGAAAGAAAGACAGAGAGAGAGAAAAGCGAAAAGCTTTTCTCTAGTGAGAAACGTAAAAAGCACGATTAATTATGCTACCGTGCTTTATTTCTTTCTGCTGCTGGAATACGCTCTTCTTTTGTTCAACTCTTACAAAAATTTTTTTTTTTCTTATTTGCCAAGAAAGAGAAACACGTAATAATGTAATGGGACTTGATTAATGTTTCGTGATATTTTATCAAGATTCGTACTAATTTCATAAACGAATTGCTAAGAGCTGCATAAAATTTATGTTTTCCTTGAAATATATAGTCTTGTCCAACAAGTATTTTTTGATTATATATATATATAGGTGTATCTTCCAAAA